TGTATTAGCCATGTGTTCACTGAGCTTAGACTTTTGAATCCGTAGACCTTTACAAGTGGTTTTGTGTTCGTATAGTCTCTTCTGGATGGGTCGGCAGGTTCACCCCATATAGATCTTACCACATGGGCTCAAAACCTTGTAGCAGCCTGATCTAGAAAGAGAGTGGGAAGATTCTTGAAAAGAAGGCATGACTGAAGAAGGTGCTAATTTCTCTTTATACATTGTTTTTATGTTCCAATTTCTCAGCAGATCACGCAACTTTTTTCGCAAGCTGTCAGGAAGTCAAAATCAGAAAACGAGTAGAATGGTCCAATTGTCTATCCCGTCCCAGATAGCAAACTCCCTTCATCTTGTTACCGACAATTGATATGTAATTGTCTACAAATCCTAATTGGAGGATTAGCTTCGAGTCTGGCTAGGACTATCATACTTCCCATTAACATGACATCACAAATTCCTTCCAACCAACTTTTCCTTCGAAATGAAAAGTCATGTCACAATATATAACTAAGAAATTTTCGAAACCCGATTTTTATTCATATTATCAGAATGAGTTCCAGCTATGATGCTGTTTGCCACATTCCATACAAAAGCTTTAAGCACTTTCCACGGAATCAAGAGGGTTTCTTGATAATTAAGTCACTTTAAGAGTCACACCATACTCAAACAAGAGCAGGCCAGAAGGAATTCGCTGTCTATCTATGAATCTCTTCATCAAGCACCTCCTTAATACCATATAAGAAGCTTCATGGAAAACCAGTTTCTCTACTTATATGTCAATAAAATGAGGAATAGAAAAAGGCAACTTACCGATAATCTGTGGTCTGCTGAATGTAGTGAGCGGGAAGCAGCGACAACGAGATGACACGCGTGTGCTCATCTGAGTCGAGGAATTCGGCAGTGTCCCGGACCCGTCCAACAACCATCTCCTGTACATCTCGAAACAACAGGATCGGATTGCGTTGATCTGGAGTATGGAAACTTGGGTGTTTACTCGATAGACAATTTAAGGCTCGAAAAGTGTGTTTACTACTCTCTGTTTCTCTTTCATATTTGCACGTCAGAGCCGGAAGATAGTAAGGGTTATTCGTTTAAATTAAATAAAATTGTAATTAGATTGATGTGAACTAAATTGAACAGTTTGTCTTGGTGCACC